TTTAATCGGTTCGAATCATCGTTACTCCTCGGTTATGGAGACTCTACTCACTGTTCATCATAGTAGTATTAATAACTAGAACTTGAGGCTGGTTTGAGAAAGTGTTGGATACGAAGTTTCATGATCTCAATACGGATTGTGTCAGCTTTGTATATGATCTTTATGAAGTTTAAATGTTATATAAAGAATTTTTTTACAAAGCTTTTATGCAAAAGAACTTTGATTATTGCTCAAGCAATACCTTGAATCCCTGAGCCTGCATTCCTGAGTCTTATCAGTTTTTATTTCGGTTAAGTCTTGTTGAGTACTTTTGTACTCAGGGTTCGTTGACCCTTGTTGCAGGTGAGCCTCATGAGCGGATCTGTTTTGGATCGTGCTGCATGACTATTGTTTGATCTGATGATGAGAAGTAAATGTGTGGCCCTTGGGCAGGGCAGTTTCATTGTGTGTTTTGTATTATATTATAATGCCACTCCACTATTTTGTTTTGTAATAATCATCAAACTTAGTTGTGAGGTTTGAAACTACTGTTTTGTAAACTATGTTATTGTAAGACTTCCGCTGTTTTTACTCTGGTGTATCTATTTGAATAAATTGTTGTAATACTGCAATGACTCTGTAATGTGATCCTGCTCAAAAATCATGGATGATTCGGGGTTCCGCGAGGACACCCGACAGTCATCTTAAGTTACCGGGAACGTATGCATAGATGTCAAAGGTCGTTGGATAGTGACAGGTGCATGTGGGCCCTATAATTTAGGAGGTTCTGCCACAACAAGCTTCTTGCGGGCTTCGATGGAGACCGCCACCAAGCCGTCTAGGAGGTGGCAACCTCCAAGATTAACAAGCACCACCGGCTTGCAAGACGATCACCTAGTGCCACTCAATGCAACCTCACGATGCAATCGCACTAGAATCGCTCACTCACTCGATCGGATGAACACTATCAAGCTCAAGTGAGTTAGAGGGCTCCCAAGCACACCTACACAAGCCACCAAGGCTCAAGGGTGCACAAATCAGGGCCCAAGGATGGCCAATGCATGGTTTTATAGCCCCCAAGAAAATAGAGCCGTTGTACTCCCCTGTCCACTGAAAATCAGGGCGATCGGACACGCCGGTTGGATCGATCGGACGCACCCTGTCAGTGTCCAGTCAACGGATGGCTGCCACGTCATCCCTGGCTTCAAATGCTGAGCGCCCGATCTCAATGGTTAAGTTGCGACCAGACACGCACCACGAGGATGACCGGACGCTGCTACGCCTGAGTCCGGTTATTTCCAATAAGGTTCCAGAGAAGCTTTTACGCGATCGGACACGTCCGCTCCTACACGACTGGACGTAGACCAGCGTCCGATCAGCTCTATGTCAATGCGCCAACTCCAGCGCTGCCTACGTCACCATACGTCACCTATGACCGGACGAAGGCCCTGCGTGTCTGGTCACTTTTACTGTGCAGCGTCCGGTCACTTGACCAAGACCGTGCCCAACTGCTGCCACTAACCAGACGCACCGGTCCTGCCGAGGCCAGCATCTGGTCACTCACAGTGACACCTTCTCGCCTCCGTTTCTTCACCGAGTTGATCCTCATCAACTCCAACTTCTTCTCCATTGCAAATATGCCAACACCACCAAGTGTACACCACCATGTGTATGTGTGTTAGCTTTTCACAAACATTTTTAAGGAGTTAGTCACTCAACTTGTCTTGCCACTCGATACTAGCAACGATACAAAGTTAGATCACTCGAGTGGCACTAGATGACCGATATGCAAACAAGTTTGCCCCTCTTGATAGTACGACCATCTATCCTAAACCCAGTCATCAACTTCTCTACACACCTATGACCGGTGAAATGAAATGCCCTAGGTTATACCTTTGCCTTGTGCATTCCATTCCATCTCCTCCAATGTCGATGCAACACATGCACCAACACGATCAACAATTATATGACCCACTTCATATCATCACGTGATCATATTGGTTCATCGATCTTGACTTCACTTGCTCTTCGCCGTTGCCTCGGTCCATCGGCGCCAAGTCATCACTCAACTTGCCCTTCACACTTGCAACCGGTCCATCGAGCCAAGTCATGTCTTGATCTTCTCCACCTTGATCACATGACTAAATGTCATGTCTCATGTGCAATGAGCTCCTTCATCATCACATGTGTGAGCATTGCAACATTTCTAAGCCATTTCCACCTCCATGGCATATGTTGCTCACACACATGTACCTGTGGACTAATCACCCGTGTATCTCACATAAACACAATTAGTCCACCTAGGGTTGTCACTCAATTACCAAAACCAAACAAGGACCTTTCAACCGTGTACCTCTTGTTCTTGTTGGAGTGGCTAACATAATACGGCCTGTGAAACCGAACGACATAATCTACCAGAAAATACTTGAGATGCTCCAACGTATCAAATATCATTCCCTTCTTAATCTGCACCTCCTCACTATCTGGTACCTCATCGGGCAACAACGACAAACCGGTGTCACATATTGCCTAGTCAACCATACTAATGTCCATGAAATTTGGTACCGAGGGTACCTCCACATGGATAGCCTTCAAATTCCTCAATTCGATGTCATTGTACTCCATTGTTAATGACCCATCAGCTAGGACTCCTATTGCATCCGAAAACCCTCCCTCACAACAATCAGTTTTGTCCTCGCTACTAGGCTTAGACCTGTACTCGTCCTCCAACTCATCATCCGAAGTACTTGGCCCTGAAGTAAAGTCATCTTCGTCTATGGAGGCAACATCAACTTCGTCATCCTCCGATCCTTGGGATATGTCATCCATATCATGTGTTCCATCTCCATTGCCATCGTCCTCATCATTCAAGGCACCGGGCTCACATGACCTATCAACTTCTCTAATGACAACCACCTGCAACTCTTCGTCTTGGGTAAGGTTCTCTACGGGCTCCACATCCACATTATCATCCATAGCCACCACAATTCGGCTACACCCCTTCTCCACAACAACTTCCAAGCACCTAACACTGCTACTCTTGACAACCTCTATGTAGTTCTTCCATTCATCCTCACATGACAAACACATCAACACATAATGTGCCCGTTCCTTCCCACGGTCAAATCTACCTCTCAAACTTAGTGTCCACCCAAATTTATCCCGGCACTTGCTAACCAAAGCATCAAAGGTAGGAGGTCCACTAAAGAACTCAACATGTTCGTGCATGCTTTCGAACTCCCCATTTCCTTTCACTTTGCCACCATGAAACAATCGCCCTAACCGATCCATCTACAAAATACGAACCAACACGTCAACAACACATGAACTACACATTTCGGAAATAAATCATATCCATTCACTAATACACTACAATAACAAAAACTTCACAGTGACGTCAACAAAGGCAACAAACATTCCGATCTAAATCCACCATGCACCAACTACCAAAGTCCATGCAACACGTAGTTTACGTCCAATCCACGGGCAGAGTATATCCTAAACCTAATCTACACATCAAATACTAACAAGCAACGATAAAAACATTGTCACCATCTCTAATTTCCTAAACCTAGTCTTCAAACTCATGAGGCAAGAAATTAAGAAAAAGAGAGGGGAGATCAACCTGGAGGTGTACTTGAGTCCACGGAGCAGGGAGGTCACGAACCATGGTAGGACAAACCTCGGCGGCGACGCCGCTGCGGCAAGGCGCCGACAACGCGGGGAGCCCGTCTGCTCCCCCTGGCGCCGCTCCCTTGCCGCATGAGGGGGAGGGAGAGAGAGAGAGGGTAACAGGAGTAGCCACTAAACTCACCGGCGGCGCGGCCTCAGATGGCTGGGGCGGTCGGGGACGCTGGGTGGCGGCGGCGGTAGCGGTGACGCCTAGGCGCGCGGAGTGAAGGAGAGGGAGAGCGAGAGAGAAAGGAAAATGGGCTGGGCGGGCCAAATCATATATGACCCTGTCGTGCCGGCCCGCCTGGCGCGATAACCCTATCGCACTTGAGTCGCTGGCACGATAGGGCAGGCCCCACGGAACGCTGCGCTAGCTCCGGTCAACGATGTGTGCCACTGTGGTGCCCCTTGTCGCGCCAGCGCATGTGGCGTGACAAAGTGGTACAGTCGCGCCACTCGCGCTGGGGCGACCAAAAGGAATAAATTTGCAAATACTTTTTTTAGGATTACTATTAAAATATTGTTTAAAAAAGGATTAAAAAAAGTCCGAGGGAGGGGGGAGGGTTCTGTGGCTATAAAAATGTAGAGAAGGAGAAGGTGGGATTAGCGCCTTCATGGACCATGGTTCGCCTTCATTCTAGGTTCACCCGATATTCAGAACCATAATCCCAGTGGTAGATTCACCAGAATGCTAATTTGTGACCGTGCCCATGGCTCCTAGACAAGTTACGGAGTTCAGCCCAAGTTGCAAGGATGGCATGATGCTGGCCTAGTTATGAGAATGCTCCCGGCTTGGTTTGTTTTGCCGTGGAGTTTGCTCTGGACATGACATTATTTTTAACTACAGGGTATTTTTCTTGTGTTGGATTGCTGGCATGGCTTTTATTTTAACTGCAGGATATTTTTAGTGTTGAATTGCTGGAGGTTTAGCCTGCATTCGTGGGTTCGTTATACACATACACCGGGAGTGTTTCGATGTGATTCTTTGCACCACGGTCACTACTCACTAGTCACTATCAGACTATCGGTCGCATCTAGTAAGCCCATACAAAATGCCTCCGTGACTCCGTTGCTAGGAGCTCAAACTGGCCCATTAGGCTCTCAGTTTATATATTTATCAAGAAGCCTAAGGCCGTCCCCTGTTTTAGTTCTGCATCGATCAGCAAGAGCATCTTTCCGCATTTGATTTGATGTTGTGTTTAGCCTTGTATATGCACCCTGTCTCATACACAGACTACTGTGGAGTGTGGACTAAGCTGCTAGCTGGCTGCTACCAATCTGTCTATACAACAAAATACGCTCGCTGGCTGCAACCAAACCAATCCGTCTATACAACAAATACGCAGAATTTACAGGCCCAGAAGAAGAGCAAGGAGAGACGGCAGCAGGATGAGCCGCTGCCATTGCAGCACCGGCGGCGGCGGCCACCACGCCGCCGCGTCGGATGAGGCGTTCAAGATGCCTTTGGGCGTTCTGCCGTGCCGGGGAGTGCACGTCCCGTTCGCCTGCTCAGACACACACACACAGTTCCGTCTCAGTAATTCACACAAGAGAATTTTACTAGAGGCTATGTGCAGCGAGGAGAGGAGGCATTACGCTGCAAGCCGATATGCTCCCGCAGCCGCAGACGAGGCCGCCGTTCGCCTTGTCCGTCGCCTCCGCCGCGCCGCCTCGGTCGCTCCTCTGCGTCCGAAATTCACAAACCAAGTTCAGAGTTGATCTGAGTAGGAACCACGGAGATGAGACAAACGACGGAGCTGGCTGCTGACCTTGTAGAAGTCGACGGCGATGAAGTTGGGCCATCGGTTCCCGGACTTGTCGTGGCAGGTGGTGACCATGTCCAGCAGCTGCGCCGAGTTGTCCTTGCACGCCACCGGCAGGTTCGGGAGGTCCCTGAAGTAGTTGACGAGCACCAGCGACCTGGACAGGTCGTTCATGGCGGCCGACTCGGCGCGGTTGTGGCACGTCCCCTTCACCATGCCCTTGGTCCCGTCTGCAAGCAAGAAGCAGCACCACCCGGCCCTCAGAATCTGCATCGCTCATGGTGCAAAGAACCAAGGACAGGGATGGTGACGGCAACGGCGGCGTACACTGGTTCTCGACGACGTAGCGCCACTCGTAGGCGATGCCCTCGGCGGCCTCCTTGGCGGGCCTGGAGGTGAAGATGAGCAGGCGGTGGTTGTCGCGGACCATGTCGCTGAGCCGCGGCCAGTCGCCGCCGCTCTTGGGCATGCGCCAGGCCGGGAACACGTAGCGGGCGAGGCCCGACGCGTTGAGCACCCGGGTGAGCCCCTTGGGCGACTCCACGTAGTCCTCCACGAAGATGGTCACCACCTCCGCGGGGTTCCGCGACAGGAAGCGCTCCACCTCCCGGAGCACGTTCACCGCCGGTTGCTGCCAGTGCCAGGGGAAGTCGAGGTCAGACAGAGCTGTGGAGACGAACACGGTGACGCCGGCCGGGAGGAGAAGGAGCTTACAAACGCGGTGAAGTTCTGGCAGATGCCGCCGTAGGAGTGGCAGAGCCAGACGTCGTTGCGGAAGTCGTACATGTCCAGCATCAGCCCCCTCACGCCGTTCTGCACCACAGACAAAGAATTCAAGCGAGGCCAAATCTATGGTGCTGACTTGCTGTGAAGTCTAGCTACCGGAGTCGTGTTAAAAGCTTGCAGTTTCCAGCTATGTAGAGCAGAAAAAGCAATGTTAAAAAAGGCGAGATAACACCCCCACCCCATCCGTCTCTATCTTTCACAATAATCGCTCCGATTGCCACATGACTATGGTTGCCGGAAATGCCATCGTGGGGACACCATGGCGACGCAATGAGACGAGCTCATTGACGCGCAGGCAGGAACACAGACAGGTTTTTTCAAAAAAAAAAAGGAACACAGACAGGAATCCTGGCTCCTGCGCGCGTGCCTGCCGCAGTGCAGTGCCATGTGTGCCGCGACCACGCTTCAAGCAAGCGCAGCCGGAGCCCGGCGTGTGGTGTGGGCTCGCTGCGGCCGGCTCTGCTCCGCCACCGCGGGCGTGCACGCAAACCCGTGCTCGCTCGCTCGCTGGCCGCCTGGAGCGCGTGCACGCGTCGGCGCGCGGAGAGCCCCCCGCGACACCTGTTGGCTGTCGCGTCACGGCCCGGCGGCACCTCACGCCCAATGCCTACCACCTGGACGGTAAACACATTACTACTTGTAGACTTGTAGTAGTACACCAGTCTAGGAGTATTCTCATGCCCAATCATTCCTTGGCCGTGGGCCCGTGTCCAATCAAACCGCTGGCATTTGCTCCATGATTCGCGCCAGGGATCGAGCGACGGAGCCGAAGGAAGAAGCCGACACCGTCCCCGTGCCGCGTACTGCTACCAGGACGTGGAAGCTAACGTTTGCGTGCGTGGCGCGCCGCCGGGTCATGCGGACGTGGACGAGCGAGGAGCAGCTAGCTCTGCCGAGCTCAGGAAGAAGCTGAGGAAGGAGGAGCGAGAGACTGGCTGGATGGAGAGGGAGACTCACGTTGAGCTGCTCGGTGACGGTGTCCTGCTGGTTCCACGGCGTGGCGATGGCGACCCCCGTCCGCGACCGCTGCCCGAGCCGCGCGAACGAGTTGTGCGTCGTCAGCCACGCGTACCGGTTGAACGGCAGGTCCCGCGCCTGCCACCATGAGATGAGCAACAACCCGCGCAAATTGTCACGGGACGGTCAGTGTCGCCGCCGGCGGCAGCGATCCAATAATCCGGCGGCTGCATTCGGGGCGGCGAACGGGAAATTGCTTGCGCGCGTACGGCGTACCTTGGTCTGCGGGTCGACGGGTGCCACGCGGGTGCAGCGCGGCCGCACGTTGCCGTCGGCGACGCACGTCTCGCAGTGCAGCCCCGCGTCGCAGTTCCGGTCCAGCGCGCACGTCTCGCCCACCTTCCGGGCCGACACCACCACCACCGCGCCGGGACCGGGGGAGCACAGCATCACGAGAACGAACACGGCGGCGGCGACGCGTCGGAGAAGAAGCGCCGCCGGCCCTTCCCTGTCCGCGGCCATCATCTCCGTTCTTCCTTGCTTTGTCCTCCCTCCGCCGCCGCCGCCGGTCGACGCCTCCTGCTGACCGTGTTGTTGTGCTCCGTTGCTGGCCTGGGCACGGCGATCCAGCTATTCTAGCCAAAGAAGCCAGGAGGAGAGCAGCAAGCAGGTTGGTGCGTGGGCGGCGGTCGCTTCGCTTCGCTCGCGTCTCGGAGTGGTGTTTGTGTGGCTTGCAAGGCCGGACATGCCAGTGGCGTCGGCGCCCCCGGCGTGCGTGCGCGGTTTTTCTGGGACTCGGACGCTCTAATTTCTGCCCTGTTCGTTTTGGTGGGGGTGCCTCATCCGCCGTGGGCCCCGGTCGTCATGTCTCACGAGTGGAGCCTGGCCCACGGAGAAGGCGGGAGGTGGGCTCGGGCGCCGCGGCATCCGGTCGAGATGGCCGTTGCGGTGGTCCCGTGCGCTGCCGCCGCGGGTCCTCAACTGCCAGGTGAGCTGGCGTGCTGCCACCCATGAGGTGTTGTGTTTTGTTTAAAAAATGAGGCACATGCCTCTTTTGTGTACTCCAGTTTAATACAGGATTGAGCTGTTACATGTTAATTTTTGCATCCGATTTTTTTCTTCGGTTATTTCTCACGCTTTAGCTAACGCCCGCTCACCCCTCCTATCTTTCGCGCCCCCGTTGCTCGGAAACGTGATATGTACGTGCGTGTATGACCTGATCATGTTTGAGGTTTCGGCCAGCTGATAATGAAAGGCAAGCAAGTTAACAAAAATCTTACAAGCCCCATGGTTGCTAGGTCCCCCGTCACTACTCTTACCACTTAAAATGGTTTTGTCGGTATGCTTTTCCGGTCCTCTCCTAGTCCATTGGTTGTCTGATGCCGCCCTGCTATCCCTTCCCTCACCATAGTCAGGCCTACCTACTCTAGAACCCCTCCTTCTAGGCCCGACAACGACAAACGCCCTCCTCAGGAAGAAGAAGCTCGTCTCCCACCACTGTCGTTGTCGCAACACCGCCCGAAATAACATGTTGCTGGAGGCGCTCGTCTTCCACTAGACACTAAGCACCTCGAAAGGGAGCTACATCGGACAGTTCCGTCGAGCACACTCCAAGGGAGACCTCGAAACAATCCACGTTTTAAATCTAGAATTCAATAACGAGTACGAGCTTACAATACTTAGACTATTTCACACAACAAGAGTTCTTATAAATTATTTATTACAATACCAGAGTTCAGGGTGCGATAATTAAACAGCGGAATGAAAATAAGCATCTAGCGGAAACGATACAAGGATCTGTCTATGCCCACCAGAAGAATCCTCCACACAAGAGCTACTCCTCAAGCTGCACCTGCAACGGGGGTAAAATAAACCCTGAGTACACAATGTACTCGCAGGACTTACCCGACTATTGAGAATAGTTTACCGACTCCATGGAATTTGATAGGCAATATGGGTTTGCTGTTTTCTTTTGGTTTGCGAAAAACATTACTAATAATTCATCCTTACAGTCAAGTTTTATTAGCAGTCATGATTACTTCATTAACTAACCATTATAGGTAAGCACCTGTTCTACTTTCAAGCAAGGGTTTAGCAATCAGAACCATTTTACCATCTTTCACCTTCCAATTCTTACTACGGTGCTAGACCATAGCCAAGTCGTACCGTCTCACGGAAACGGCGATTCATGAACCAATATATCCCAGTTGGGTACCCTGAAACACATGTCCCGTTTATACTTCAGGCACAAACAAGACCAACCCATTCCACTCCTGTCATGGGGTCCAGGTCCCCATCCAAACTTGGACTCCAAGCCCCCACACTTGAGACCCGGTCTCAGTATGGCGCTTAGACCTCCACCTTTCCTCTCCTTCAATCAGTCGGTCCGAAAAGAGCCAGAACCCACGACAAGAGCGTAACGAGGCTTCCCACACCCATAGGCAAGTATGTGCTCAAGATAATAAGTCTGTGACCTGACTACCATCCACAGCAACGGACGGTCCTTAATCGACACGAACAGGGAAAACAGTGTAACCAAGTTAAGCCCCGTTGGCCGTGGGACACAACCTGTTACACCCACCAATATCCATACCATATCGCTGCCCTGTTTCCATTTTTCCTTTCATCATTGTATCATGAGAGTAATTATAATAATCACCTATTGTGAGTAACGACAGGTTACTCACGCTACCGAAAACCTAAGCATAGCAGCTACTCGAACTTATACTAGTAGGACTCATAGGACAGTTATATCTATGCATGTGGTTTTCATAAAATTCCTATAACGTAAATGCACACAACATGTATAAAAAGTGATTATAAAAAATAAGGGTTATGCACCGGGGCTTGCCTTAGGCAGGCGCGGTGTCAGCTGAGTCAATCAGTGATGGCTCTGGGACCTCCTCCTGCATGAGGATCTCCTCCTCGTACTCCTCGATGATCTCCTCGAACTCGTGATCACCGATGGTCACGATCTTCGTCAAGTCATTCTCTACATGCATGCTATGATGATGCAACACTTAGCATTTATGCAACAGCAACTCTTAAGATAAGAATAGCATACTAAGCTACTAAGCTAGCTCTAATGACTAAGGTACTAAGCTAACTTTCATCTTTACCAAGCAAAGTGTTGGGTTCAACTAACAAACACATAGCTTTACAAACGAAGGATATATCTTTATTTCTACTAATGATTTAATGTATATTGAAACAAAGAGATTTTAATTACCCTAATGCTTAATCTATTCTAAAGCTACAAAAATTACAGTGAGCACATAATAATACAATGAAGCTAGCATAAAAATTTCAGGACCAAAACTAACACCAATTTACCATAAAATTCCTATAATATTTAACCTAACAATATTAAGCACTCTCAAATGATTTAATAGCCCCTGGTATCAACATGTATATATATGAACTAAATACACTAACCGATAGAGCACAATTTTAGGAACCTAACAAAATTTATTTCATAATTTATGGACACCTACATGATTTTATATGATTTACGAAAGATCAGCTCAAAAAATAAATTAGAAAGCTATTTCTAATGCCTTATGGAAAAGAAAAACGAATTCGCCCGCGCGGCCCACGCGACGCAGCGCGCGCGGCGGCCCACAGGCGCAGCCCACTCGAGGCCGGCCTGCAGCACGAGGCGGCCACGGCGGGGGAATCCCACGCATGTCGATGACTTTGCAAAAGAGACCTCGCACTTCTCCCGAATTGCAACTAAGTCCTGGCGCTATTTTCCCCTCTCTCAGAACCCCTGGCCTTTCCCTAATTCGCTCGCGCGCACCCCCGACGACCCAACGCATGGCCGCGCGGCGAGCGACGGCACTGAGCGCTTACGCCGGACACCTGGGACCTACGCGGGCCCACCTAATGGGTCGATCACCATCTCTGACCCGAGCGACTATGCTAAGCGGCAGTGAGGGGTGATAGAACTCGCTGGGGAAGGCTGCAGCGGCATGTGGCCATCCGCGATGGCAGCGCCACTGTTTTGGTGAGCTGAGGCAACTACAGACCTAATCGGTTAGCGCACGAGCATCAGGAGGCTACCATAGACCAGACTGAGGTGATAGTTAGAGCAGAAGATGATGGAGGAAGGCTGGCCACGTGCGGCCGAGCCATGCGGTGGCGCACCGCAGTGGCATGGTCACGTCAGCGACGAAGGAGAGGCGGTAGCAGTTTGACTAAGGCGCGCAAGGTGGAGAGGGAGTCAAGGTGATGCTAGTGGTGCAGGTGAATTGGCTCAGAAGGGACGATGGGAGAGCTGCCCACACCCACGGCCGGACGTGACCTTATCGGCACGACGACGGAAGAAACTCCAAATTGGAGCTTGGCCGTGCTCGCTTCAAAGCTGGGTGGGGTCGGGCAGCGAGAGAACATGATGGTGAAGTCATGGATGCGACGAATTTAATGGAGGTGATCGTTCGCAGGGCAATTGATGGCGTGGCTCGGCGGCGGCAGCGGAGGGAGGAAAAGGGAAAGAGAGAGACGTAGCGCGGTAGGTAGCTCAGCTCGTCCTCGCCTTGGTGGGACATGGTCGGTGAGCTCATGGAGACCCACACGTAGGAGATAGTAGACAAGTGCGTGTGTTTCTGACCGGCATGGCCCGCGTGGCCGCAGTGTCTTAAATGACAAGGTGACGGCGAGCTCGGCCATGTGCGCGCCGCAGTGGTAGCCTTGAACTAGGCCAGCAGCGGCGCAGAGAGTACAGCGGACAGGCGCAGACACGACGACGATGCGACGGTAGCAGCAGCGTCGCGGCGTGAGGTGGGTCAGTAGTGCGACGAGGCAGCAGTGGGCGAACACGACGACGAGGTGATAGCGCCGACAATGGCTTCGTCGTGGCACGGCGAGGCCAGCGGCAGCCGAGCCATAGCAAGGCCAGAGGCGGCCACGACCGACCACGGGTGGCAGCGCACGCACATGCGACCAACGCGGTGATGCCGAGCACCCAAGCGTGGTGATCACGCCCATGCAGCCATCTAGCCCGAAACCGTGTCGTGCACAAATTTTAAAGCGACCATAAAAACTTAGCGATTACTTCGGGACCTAAACCATCTTCACCATGCTCAAGATGGCGCACCAAGGAGAAGATGGGGATAATGCTCCAGAATATAACTCTCCTGCTCCCAAGTTGCTTCGTCCACTGAATGATTTTGCCACTGGACTTTATAAAATTTCACCACTTTGTTCCTAGTGACTCTCTTTTTCATCTAAGATTTTGATAGGATGCTCAATATAAGAAAGATCAGGTTGGAGAGGGAGTCCTTCAATTTCCACCACTTCCTTAGGAATCCGTAAACACTTCTTTAATTGGAAAACATGAAAGACATTATGTACTACTGACAAAATATCCGAAAGATGGAGACGATAAACAACCACACCACATCGCTCCAAAATCTTATAAGGTCCGACATAATGAGGAGCTAACTTTCCACGGACTCCAAACCGATGCACACCTCTCATTGAGGATACCTTTAGGTACACATGGTCACCAACTTTAAACTGCAAGG